TTTTTTTAAGAGCTGGGGCCAGGAGAGTGGGCAGGGGATGGGGCCTGTTTGACTCAGAGGCTTGGCTGATGCGGCAGTGGCTTAATCTCCGAATCAGATTTGGCTGAATCAATTTAGGACAGTGATTTGAATCACCAAATTGAATCACTGTTCCCTGAATCAGTCAAATCTGAAGCAAATACTAGCCTTTTTGCACAGGCCTACTATAGACACCCCCGTCCTCTCCCTGTAACAGTCTATGTTACACATAACACTACAAAACCTCATACTATAGAGAACTTCCTGTTTTTTAGTGAATCCACCACTGCTTTAAACACTACAGACAGCCTGAGTATATGCATTTTAGCTTTTAGAAAGGTTAATCCTGGTGCCATGGAAGTCACAGACAAGGATGCTGGGTCAGTGGACCTGACATAGCTGTTTCTCAACACTAACCTGCTTATTAAACTGAATGGAAGGCAATCTGAACTAAACTATAGCTATCCCCTTATCCTTGAGAACCAGCATCAGAGAGATCAATATTAACCTAAAGAAAGTGACAAGAGCCTTACTGTGGACAGACTTGAACACTGGTTATGAACTCAGCTAGAAACTGAGGGTTGGCTGTTCAAGATCTGCACAGCTACAATTACTGGAATACTTTGGCTTCAGAAGTCTTGGGCATTTGCCTGTGCTTTCCAAAAATGATTTGTGAGGAAACATACTTCCCATTTTTTGAAGTATTCTTCTAGGACGCTTAAAAACAGAGGAACAGACTTAGCCTCTTTCCTCAACTATTCCACCATGGGGCTCTCGTGGAAATAACTGCAAGACCATACTTAGCTGTGACAGGAGCATGCCCACCTCCCAAGTTCCCCAACTGCGCCTAGAAAAGTATATTAAAAATGTCTTGGCTCTGGGGACTTTCCTAACTGAATCAGGAGGCAAATACACTGGGCTAGCCAAGTGGCCTGCCTGTTCAGGACTGGCAATTGTCCAATCTTCATTTTTTATTTTTAAAGCCATCACTCTGTGCTCCACACCATGCTTAACTCTCACAAGAGACACCGAGTTCCTCTGACCTTATCTTGACCCTTTTCAGACGTGCACATGTAAACCCCCTCTGCCTATGCAGAGCTCCGTTGAAACCAGTGCATTTCTGCTCATAGGGAACAAGTTGCAGGATGTGGACATAAACTATTACTTCTGCAGTGTGGTGACTGTTTTATTTTATGTGCATACAGTGCCTAACAAAAGTGGGGCCCAAATCTTGATTTGCCTTTTTGGCGTAACAGCAATGCAAATAATATATACCAAGACTAGGCATAAGTTAGCAAGGTGACAGTGAAGTAAGTGCTGTTGTACTGGCAACGATGGCAACAACAGTGGGAACACTGAGATGGAGGGATGAGGGGTGAGTTACCTGCTGTGCCTGCTGCAGCAGCTCCATTCGCTCATGCAAGATCTGGCTATCAAACTCGCGGCTCTGCCTCAGGATCTGCCTCCGCACCTTCTCCACCGCAGCTCGCAAATCCTCCCTCTGCACTTCATTCAGAGACTCACTTGCCCGCCTTCCTGGATCCTGCTGCAGAGTGTTATACAACGTGGCCTCCAGCTCCTGGATTCTCTAATGCAACCCAAATCACATACAAACAGGCTGACATGTGAATACAGCAAGCAAACATCCCCAACACTACAACAAACAATGCCAGTGAGCAAAGCCTAAAAGGAAAGACCAGAAGATGGGCACGACTAGGCAGCAGAAAAGCAGCAACCATGTGAGCAGTGAAGAGCATTCCATACACAGTGCACGCAACCTCATGAGACTTCACACGGCAGGCGTGGTGTTGCAGTCTGTTGAATGAATGGATCTTGGATTTAACAAGAGTTCATAATGCATGCTAAGGAAAACAAGATTCTGCGTATTTCCAGAGACAAACTCTCGATCAGTTCGTGACCAGCCCCACTGAAAAGTCTGAGCTACAAGGAACCAAGAGGTTCCCTTCAGCTGGATTGTTAAATCAATCCATAGTATTCAAAAAGTATGAAGAGCAAGATCTGCACACAAACATACTGCACATGGCAAGAAAAAGCTTGCCACACCTTTCTTTCTCTCAACCCTACAATCCTAGCCTGCTGTTACTCAAGGTTTTTCTCACTCCATTTTGTTCCGAGTGCCCATAAGCAACAGGAAAGACTCTTGGAAAGGGAATCAAAAGCAAAAGCACAGAATCAGACATTTCATAGAGTGAAGAGAGAAATGCTTATGTACTTGAGGGATATGTATGGGAAGGCAATCACCCATCATCCTCTTTGTTTCCAGTTAGTTTCTAGCCACTTGTACTTTAAGAATCTCACGTATAAGCCAAATTAGGCAATATTTGCAAGGCAAAGAGTACAGGGAATACATAAACTGAAACAGAAAACTTTGCTGACTACATAAAACAGCAAGAAATCCTTAACATATTTATCTATTAGGTTTTATACAACCTTATTTTAAAAAAACAACACTAAAGAACAACAGCATTTGGATCTAAACTACATGACAGCATCCCTTTAAACTTCACAGCACCTTTGTATGATTGGCAATTCTGTTGTATTACTGGTGAGTAAGCTGTAGCACAGAGAGGTTAAATAGCTTGCCCATAGTCCTGATACTAGAAAGAGAATCCACTATAACCTACTATAAAACCTGGCGATCTTTTTTCAGTTCGAAGCATTTACAGTCATAAACAATCCTTAATGCCATACTACTGCCATTTCCTTAGATCTCATTATTCTTAAAAAGCTGGATATACTATTTTGCTACCACCTAGACAACTCAGAGCATTTCCCTTATTTCCCTTAAAAAAAACAACACTTGAACAAAAAAAAAAAAAA